CAGGAAGAGATGGGAAATGCTCAACGTGCTGACAGCCGGCAGATTTCTTCACCAAATAGTGACACGAGGGGGTGCTATTTTAGGCACGGTTTTGGTAAGGAAAAGAGCCGCGAAAATAACCTTGGATGGAGCAATTAATGCAGTATGGGCTGAAGGGGAGGACGAGCCGCACTAGGGCAGCCAGGGCTGTGTGGTTCAAAGGACACGCTCTGAGAAATGATGAGACCTGACTAGAGAAGTCAACCAGAGGGAGGAACCCGGGGTCTGGCGCATGGAGGATGCGCGGAATTCCTTTAAGTCAAAAGGGCAAAACCCATCCGAAAAGTGTAACTTTAAAAAGAGGCAGAAAGATTGATGAGGAATGGCTGCCGGAGGGCATCAGACCTAAAGCAGCAGGGAAAAGGCATTAGGAGAAAGCACAACTTGTGAGGCACAAGAAAAAAATTAAAATATATATTATATGTATGATACGAACTTGCTGGTTAGGAACAGTACATTGGTTGTTACCTCCTCCGACAGAGAAAAACTGCTGTCCCTTAAATTCTCCTGCCCGGATTCCCTCTGTGCTGCTCCCGAGTTCATTCAGCCCCTGGTCTTTGAACACTGGAGATGAGAATTGTTAAAGTCGATCTAGTTAGACGTAGCAAAGGCAATTAAATAGCAAAACTCTTCAGCAGTATAAATAGTAAGAGAACAAGGACAAAAGAAGGGCCACCAGGCACTCAGGGTGAGGTAAAAATGAAGAAGAAAAACCTATTCCTTTAATAGCCCTGTTGTCAAAAAGGGCAGAGCCCATCCCAGGGGCACAGGGGCTTTGCAGACATCCACACTGGCACAGCGAGTTCCTTAGAGGAAAGCTGCAAGTTGCAGTTTACAAGGCAGCAGCGTATTGATAAAAGGGAATTTCCACAGGAGCTTGGCACCACCGTTAAGAATTTCAATCTTAAAAAGATGTTTCGAAGTCAAACCCTAAAGAACAATAAATAAACTTTGCACCGCTCAGACCCAGCAAACAAACCTGGCCTGGGACAAAACCAGGGAAGGGCCAGGCGAGCGGAGCCGGCGGGGATGTCTCGGGGGCTGCAAGGGGGGTGTCAAAACGTGCCTGCTGGTGCATAGCCGTGGAGCCATGGTCCTGCGGCGCGGTGTCACGTCCCGCCGAGGAGACCCTTGCTCGGGGAGGTGTGAGTGGATTTCCTCAAGTGCATTTTGACAGCTGTGAGGAAGCGGGCGGCGGCAGCAGCTGGAGACATTCCTGGCTGCGCCCCCCCCGGCGGGACCCCCGCCCCCGGCACGGCACAGCGCGCCCCGGCAGCGCCGGGGGCTCGGGGGCTGCTGGGGGAGGCAGGAGCCGCATGGGGCCTGCGGGATCTGATGAAACATCTGATGTGCATT